ATGAGGACAGCAGAGCACCACTAGTAGTTGGGTATTCTCTTATTTGCAGCCAAAATCACTCCTAATTGATACAAGGTCCAAAACTGTCCTCTTTATTTATCCTTCCTGGGTCTGTTCCTCGCCTCCATTGCCTATATGTAAATGGCACTTCTGCCCACCAAGCCTTCCCAGACTCCTCCCAGCCTCCTGCCCATGGCTCAGCTCTCATCCAACTCTGTCTAATCTGTCCTCTGCTCTCCTCCCTCTGCTGCTCCTCAGCTTCAGGCCCGTCTCACTCCCACCAGAACTCCTGCAGCTCAGGCCTAACCAGCCCCCCTACCTCTGAGCTCCCTCTTCTACCCACATTGTTACCCACAGTGATTTTTCTAAAATACAAATCTGATTGTTTCCTACTTAAGCATCTATGGGCTACAGAATAATGTTCAAAATCCTGAGCATGGCAGTCAAGGCCCTTGGCAACATGGCCCCCAAACCTCCTTCTGCTTTCATCTCTTGCCACTCCCCCAGACCCATTCTGTAATTTTAGCTACACCAGCGTATTCGCTGCACATACCCTAACCCCTCTACTTGTGTTTTTTTCCCCTCATCCCTGAATATGAATGCCTACTTATCCTCCAAAACCCATTTCAAATATCTCCTCCTGAGTCAGCTATGTTGGCAGACTCAAAAGCAGGCAGAGGAAAAAACATATATATCCCCTCCTTTGTGAAGCATTCCTGACCCCAAATAAACCCTCCTTCCTCTGTGAGCCCACAGCCTGTTGTTCCTTTTATACCACTGTTGTAATTCTTATTTTATATTCTCAGTACATATTTGCAAGCAGATTAGATTCCTTTAGGACAAGGGTATATTTCAGAGCCCCCAGCACCTCCCAGTACAGTATTTGATATAAGTGATTAATTTTTGGTGGCATCATTAACAAACACCTTCTGGTGTTTTCTGTGCAGAAACCACGGTCCCATCCTTCTTTTTTTTTTTTTAATAAATTTATTTATTTTATTTATTTTTATTTTTGGCTGTGTTGGGTCTTCGTTGCTGTGCGCGGGCTTTCTCTGGTTGCGGCGAGCGGGGGCTACTCTTCCCTGCGGTGCGCGGGCTTCTCATGACGGTGGCTTCTCTTGTTGCAGGAGCATGGGCTCCGCAACAGGAGAAGCCACCGCAGTGAGAAGCCCTCGCACCGCAGAGAAGAGTAGCCCCCGCTCGCCGCAACTAGAGAAAGCCCGTGCGCAGCAATGAAGACCCAACACAGCCAAAAATAAATAAATTAAAAATATATATAGAGAGAAATATCTCATAAACAATCACAACAAATAAACTTTAAAAATATTTTTTAATATTGTTTACAAAGAGTTGATACATGAAAATATCTTCTGTCGTAAAGTTAAAGGGGAAAAAAGAATTACAAGATAGAAATGAGTCATATTTAACACAATATCTAAAAGCAAGCAAACAAAACCTTACAAACAAAAAGCTGCCAGGGAAGGGTTGAAGATGTTCACAGTAGCTGGTGGTTCCCCTTTATTCTCCTGTTCTCTTGTTCAACTTTTGAAAAATATACACACATTACTAATAAAATGGGAAACATACACTTCATTTTTCATAATGACATAGGGAGAGGAGCAGAGACAGCTTCAAGCTCTGTATCACCTCCTCTGCGCCCTGCCTCATCCCACTGCCCAGTGATGCCCTTAGAGGCTGTGCCAGGTTGGCTGTGTCCCAGGGCCTTGTGGTTCTGGCCTTCCCCACCCCAAACCACAGGGCGCTCAGCAAGGCAGTAGCAACCAAGTAGCTCTGCACGGTCCAGACTGGGAATGGTACCTCCAGGCCAACAGTGCCCGACAGGTGGACAGCACCTACCTCCAGAGGCTGGGCCTCCCCCACGGCCCTCAGAGGGTTACTCCTGTCCCCGAGGAATTTCCAGAAAGGACTCATGAGGGGAATTTCCCAGACAGGCAGGCAGACAGACAGACACCTCAGACGGCTCCCGCCACTGAGCACAGATGTTTGCCTGAGGGTGGCGATGCTGAGAGCCAACACAGGCGCACAACTTTGTGGTGAGAGGTAGCCCAAAGCAAGAACCAAGACAAGACCCGCCTGGGCAGGCTGGGGGCTGGGATGGGGGAAGGCACGGGGCTGAGCTGGTTTGCAGGTCGAGTCTCCGAGCCAAAGTCCCTTCTGCGGTCTCGGTCTGGGTCTCTCAGTACCTGCAGCTCTCCTCCTGGTCCACCAGGAGTCGCAGCGGCTGTCGGAGTGTCCAGGCAGCGCGAGGGAGGTTGTGGGTTTGCAATCTCGGCTTTTCCTCGTAGCAAGTCTATTGTATAAATGGTGGCTTCTCTATTTCCCCTACTGGTCTGAGGGCTAATCAAGGGCAGGGATTTTATCCTAGACGCACCCTTACCTTAGGTGCTCATCACAACAGCTGGGGTCTAGAGGTGTCCCATTAGTTCGGACGAAAGACCCCCATACGCACAAATACTAGGATAGGAGAAGAGTGATTGAGCTCCAAGCCTTCAGAGAGAATGCTGGGGACAGTGCCAAGCTGGGGAAAGAGGGCTCCGCGTCCCGTTCGTGCCCAGAATTTCCCCCCACCTCTTCTCCACCCGGCTTGCTCCAGCCCTACACGCAGGCAGGGCGGGAACGGACATGGCCCCGCCGGGCTGGGCCGAGCGAGCCCGAACCTGCCCGGCCCGAGCGGCGCAGCCCAGGGGACCCCACACTTTCCCGCCCAGAAATCCCGGCGGTCAGAGAAACGGGGGAACGTGCCCCAAACTGTCTCCTCCAGGGGGCAATCCTGGGCCACCCTCTCTGAAGAACTACCATCACCCCTTCCTTCTCCAACCCTTCTGGTTTCTTTTCAGAGCAGTACGTGCCGCAGAAGTAACACTGAACAGTGATTTCACTCACTCAACAAAGATTTCTTGACCACCTACTACGCGTGCTGGGTGCTGTGCCAGGCGCTGGCAATACAGCAGTGAACCAGCAAAACTCCCTGCCCTCGTGGGACTTCGATTCTTTGGGACACGAGCAGAGGGATGGGGTAATCTCGCCTGGGACACGTGGGTGGCCGACACCCAGGTGCCCTCCCAGGTGAGCAAAACGCTCGTGAGGCGCCGCCCTGGGGCTGGTTCGGCGGGTAGACTTCGGCCCCGGCGGGAGGGGCGGGCTGCACCTCGGGTAAACGCGGGGCCGGGCACGTCGCCTGGGGGCAGGTGCGCGCGAGGGGGTGGTGGTAGGGGCCGTGCGCAACGCCTGGCCGGGACCCGGCCGTCAGGTTACCGAGCCAAGCCCCTAGTTCGCGCGGGGTAAATATTTATCCTACGCGCGGCGGAATCCGGCTGAGTAGGGCCTCTAGCAACTTGCGTCCCCCACGGGGTAGGGCCTGCCCAGGCCCTCCGCCGTCCCAGGCTCCTCCCCGGCGGGGCCAGCGCCGGACTAGCAGCTGCGTTCCGGCTCCGCGTAATTACAGGGGCTACGGCCAGGCCTGGCCGTAAAAGAGGAGGATGAAACAGCCCGGGAACCGGGGAAGCTGGGTTCTAGCCTCAAGGGGGCCCCGGGTCTGCGGCTTCCCGCGTTGCTCAGCCGCTTGGAACGGCTGGCCAGGGGTGTGTACAGACTCGCAAAATCAACTCCGGACGGGCATGCAAACAGCCACACAATTACACACATGAATCACCAAACGCACGCAGTCATACAGCATTAGGACTTCCAGCTCCAGATACACACACACACACACACACACACACATACACACACACACAGACACACGAACCTGATCAAACACCTGCCCGCCCTCTCCGCCCCAAGATCTGGGAGGCAGACACTCACCCGCCAACCCCTGCCCCAGACGGTGCAGATCCTGGCGGGAAGAGGAGCCCCGAGAGGCGAATTCCAGCGGGCTTGTTTACACTGCTCCGGGTGCGGGGTGGCGAGCTGGATACTGGGGCCTGACTGACTGGGAGACCCAGCCCAAACTGGGCCAGACCCAGTCCCCTAGTCTGGGACGCTGCACAAAAACCCCCTCCCCGCCTTCAGCCCCCAGCCCCCAGACGTTGCTCTCCTGTTTCCCCTCCTCTTCACACGCTGTTCACAAACATTAGCATATGTACGTCAAAGTTTCACACGCTTCCCCACACGCGGCTGTGATACTACTCACAAATGCTTTCACACTTGCGCGCCATCACACGTATTTACACATGCCAGATGCACATGTGTGGTTACAGTTTGTCACCCTTCAGGCCCAGATTCTCACAGTCCATATTCAAAGCCTGTTCGCACGGTACACACGTGTTAGCACACACTCACACACAGGTCATTAGTGCCCTTTGGAGCCTTAGAAACAAGAGCGAACCCCCTCGCGGGCCCAGAATCCCGAGTCTTCCTCCCTCTCACAGGCACTGACGGACAGAGGCGCCCTAAGCCCCGGCCGCACACGTTACACACTTGATCACACACAGGGTTGCACTTTATTCCCGGCATCTAGGCGATGACACAATCTCCCAAACAAAGACAACATTGACAAACCCAACAAAAACAAACAGCAGCGTGTGTGGGGAGGGGCAGCCGAGCGCAGAGTCCAGGAAGGGGGTGGGTAGGAGGAGAGTGTGGAAACGCGGGCGCCCGAGCCTGGGTGTGCAAGACTCGGGAAAGGTGCGGGACCTATCAACAACCTCGCACCCTTCAAGATCGGCGCACGGCGCCCGCCAGCCGGGTCCCGCACCCGCTGGTTAGCAGACCCGCACGTGGAGTTCGTTCCCTTCTCCCGCACGAGACTGGGCGGGGGACACAGACCCACCAGCCAGCACAGGCCCACAAAGCTGCACGCGGATCCACGAGTGAGCAAACACACAGCGCTAAGCAGATTTGTCGGTGCGCGCTTTGCTCCCCTCTCCTCCCCTCCCCCCTGCCCTCCCCCCTGCCCTCCCCTCCTCCACCTCCCCAGCCCCCAGGCCCGGGGCAGCCGCGCGCCGGGCGGGGCGGGGGCGGGGCGGGGTGTCGGGCGGCGCCGGCCCAAAAGGCGGAGTCGCGAGGCGGAGGGCCCAGAGCTGTGAGAACTGTGCTGAGTGCGACGCGTAGAAAGCCTGCGGGAGCCCAGACCCGGAGGAGACCCTCGTCCCCGCCCGGCCTGGCCCGGCCCCGCGCTATGGAGTTCCTCTGGGCCCCTCTCTTGGGTCTGTGCTGCAGTCTGGCCGCTGCTGACCGCCACACCGTCTTCTGGAACAGTTCAAACCCCAAGTAAGCCCCGAGTCTCCGGCCGACAGCCTGGGCGCCCGGTTGGCACTGCTCCCCCCTCCAGGTTAACTGTCCCGGCTAGCCCCTAACCTGAGTCTCGGGGAGGTGACCGGAGGCGGGAGGGATCCCATAGACTTTCTTCTCCCCCATAGCTGGGAGTACCCCACCCCAGGGCAGGACCCTGCCCGCATCGGCTTGCACAGGCGCTGCCACTGCCCCTCTTTTCCTTCCTTCTGGCACCCCTGTTACTCCGAAGTGAGGGACCCGCGTTGAACAGTTCCTGCCTTTAGCAGGGGCCACTCTGTCTGGCCGCCAGGGCTCTTGTCCTAGGCCCTTCCACTGAGAAAGCCTCTGTGCCTCTCCTTGTGTGTTACTTGGGCATCTGCCCACACTGACAGGTCTTGACATCCGGAGTAAGCAGAATGCTTATTGTAATCCTGGAAGGACCCTTCAGGAGGGACCTGGGCTGCCAGCATTAAGTGTTCATTCTGTATTTAAGGTCACCCTGGAAAGCCCTCCCCCCTCAAGAGTCTTTTGAGGTGGCATGAATGAGGCATATGCTGTGTGTGGGTAGGCTTGAGGGTATCTGAGGTTCAGGTAGTAAAACTGAAGAGAAGGGGAGAGAGAGGTCGTGGGAAAGGTTCCAGAGGACAGGAAGGGGTTAAAAGGGTTACAAAGGGCTCTGGGCAGGAAGGAGTTAATTTCTCCGGGGCAGGTTTAGGGCTGTGAGGCAAATGGTACGGGGAGGGAGAAGCTCCATCGGACCCTTTGTTCTTTGTTCTTGAGTTTTCTGAAGTTATGGGAACAATATTTGCAGGAAAACGGGAGAGGGGGGTAAGGTGGAGTCAGGAGAGGAGGGCTGGACACCTTGGGGTCGGGGGTGAAAAACACTTCACTCAGCCCAGCCACCGGCAGCCCTAGCAGACCTACCCCCCACTCCCCTTGAGAAACAGATTGTGCCAGTTTCCTCTTGACCCTGTGGCAGCATTGCCTGGTAGGGGGTCTGTCGTCTGTGGCGTGTTGGGCAGGGAGGGAACAGCCAGCTGCCAACCCCAGAGGGCAATGCCCTCTTGCCCATTGGCCGCCTGACGGGGCAGTGCAGTCAGCCCTCCCCCACCTCACTCCTTGCTCTCTGTTCTTTGCTTCTTTGACCCAATCTTGTCCTAGAGGGAGAGAGCAAAGTCCCTGTTTATGCCCGTGCCAGGTGTTGGCTGAAGGAGGAGGAGGGGACAGGAAGCCAGGAGTAGGGAGGGGGGGACCCTGGCCTTTTCCGTTCCCAAGCTCCCAGGTTTCCTCTCTTTCAGGAAGGAGCCTCTTCCTTGCCCCCCCCTCCCCGCCTTCCCTGACGCCGCTGCCCCCCTTTCCCAGATGGAGAGCAAGAGTCAAAGGAGTGCTAAGTGGAGCAGATTGTACCCCCAGGAGGGGGGTGATGGGCACACCCACCAAGCACAGCTTCTGCCCTGTCCATCTGGACACACACACACACACACACACACACACACACACACACACACTCTACCATACCCAGGACTAAAGAGAAAGCCAGCCCAGAGTGGAGGCCACAAGCAGCTAAGCCAGGCCCAGCTTGAGGGCAAAGACGAGGTGGTAATGAGCTGGGTGGGTATGAGGCTGGCATGGGTGACTCAGGGCAGTGGGCATCAGCCCTGGGATCTCCAGGCCCCTGTCAGGGGGCAGCATGGGAAGAAGGGCAGTGCCACTGTGAGCTGCACCCTGGCCTCCTTGGTGCTAGAGGGGCAGGTACCCGACCCATTCAGACCTGTCAGCTCCCTTTGCCTGGAGGACAGTGCCCAGAGCAAGTGGGCACTGGGCCATCCTGGGGTCCTGGGGGCTGTCCACATTTGACAAGGGAAATTTTCACAGGTTCTCATGAATGCTGGGGTGGGTGGCAGAGGTAGATGAAGAATGAGTCAGTGCCCGTCATGGGAATGGAGGAAAGACGCCAGACCCAGAGCTGAAATACCTGTTCTGAAATGGCTTCTATGTTTATCTCTCTAGAGAGGAATTTTAAAAGCCTCTCTCTGCACCTCCTCCCTCCCTCCCTCCCTCTCTCTCTCTCTCTCTCTCTCTCTCTCTCTCTCTCTTTTCCCCAGGGTGGGGGAGGGGCCTTGGTAAGCCCAGCTGGAGCACTGGCATGCTCCTGCAGAGCCAGGCCTCTTAAGGGTCATGCTGAGTGGGCAGTGGGTGCCCACCTCAGAGGCCTCTTGCCCTAACCCCTGCCCCTCTCCCCACCACCCATGCCCCTGGCTTTGGTTTGAAGCAAGTTGGCAGCCAACTCTGCTGAGTCTCTAGCTGGCAGTGGTTGGTGGAATTCAGAGAAGCTGACCGGCTTGGAGAGGGAGGTGGGGAGGCACTTTTTCCCCTACTAGGACCCCACCTAGACTGGAGCCAGGTGTCTAGAGCTGCGGGGGAGGGGTCGGTGGGCAGTCCGGCTGGAGCCTTTGGAGCCTGGGGGGAATGGGCTGGGGGAGGGGAGCTCGCTCCATCTTGGGAAGAGGGAGGGGAGAGGCCTTCTCAGATCTGAGAACTCCAGCATTTCTGGAGCTCATTTCACAAGAGGTGAAAGTATGGCTTTTGGAGATAAAGGGACAGAGAGGTTTTGGGGTGCTTTGAGAGAAGTGGACAAGGAGAGCTGAGCATAGATTTGAGTAGCTAGAAGGGGAGATTTGAGGGCACTGGATGAATTGATTAAAGCAATTTAACTCAAAAGGACTGGACATTATCTGTGGGCATGGATGTCCTGGGTGTTGGGGGAAAAGTGAAGTTGAACAATGTGAGATATACTCAGTGGGTCAAGGGGAAAAATGAGAGGAGTAAGAGAAGTGAAGACAGATTGTTGGACACCGAGTACTACCATGGGAAAGAGAAAGGGAGGGTTATGTGGATCTTGATTATAGAATGGGCCAGTAGGTTCTCAGATTGAGGTCTAATAGCAGTTAAAGGAGCAAGTGGTAGAATAGAGTTGGGGAAATATTTATAGGTAGAAGAGTGAGCAGAGGAAATATTTAGAAGCCTATCCTTAGGTAAATATCAGGGAGGTTATGGGAAGTGCCTTGATACCTGAAAGATACTAAGTGGATGCTATTTAGAGGATTAGTGGCAGAGGATGGAATGTTTGGAGATGGTGGAAAGATATTTAAGAGATCAAGATCAGGGCTTCCCTGGTGGCGCAGTGGTTGAGTCCACCTGCCGATGCGGGGGACACGGGTTCGTGCCCTGCTCCGGGAAGATCCCACATGCCGCTCTGGGAGCGGCTGGGCCCGTGAGCCATGGCCGCTGAGCCTGCGCGTCCGGAGCCTGTGCTCCGCAGCGGGAGAGGCCACAACAGTGAGAGGCCCGCGTACTGCAAAAAAAAAAAAAAAAACCCAAAAAACAAAGAGATCAAGATCAGTAAATTAAATACTGGAAGTTGAGAGTTTTAAAAAATCTTTGGTGGGGGCGGTGGTCCAGTATGAAATGTGAGGGGTCATGTAAACATTTGGAAGCTCAAGGCTCTGGCCTGGCTTCTGAGTGACCACCAGCTTTCTCTACCTCTGCGCATGCCCAGGTTTCGGAATGAGGACTACACAGTACACGTGCAGTTAAATGACTACCTGGACATCATCTGTCCTCATTATGAGGATGAGTCTGTGGCAGACGCTGCCATGGAGCGGTACACACTGTACCTGGTGGAGCGCGAGCAGTACCAACTGTGCCAACCCCAATCCAAGGACCAGGTCCGCTGGCAGTGCAACCAGCCCAGTGCCAGGCATGGCCCAGAGAAGCTGTCTGAGAAGTTCCAGCGCTTCACACCCTTTACCCTGGGCAAGGAGTTCAAAGAGGGACACAGCTACTACTACATCTGTGAGTGCCCGGGAGGCATGCACACAGGTGCATACACTGGGGGACACACCTGGCATGATGTACATGCTTCAGTACATGCTTAGTGGGAAGGCAAGCAGCAGACGGCCCCTTCCAATCCTGAAGTCTGTTTTCGTTCATTCCCATTACAAATGTGGAGTGAGCTTCTACTGTGTCCTGGGCACTCTGCTTGGCACTATAGGCGCAGAGATAAATAAAACATTACAGAGTCCCTGTCCTCCAGGAACCTGGAAAGGGACATACATAGATTAACAGACCATTAGAACAGGGTGATATGGTAGATATGAGCTCAGGGGCCCTGCGGAAATGACTTGAGTACCTGCTAGTCTGGGGTGGGGGGCACACCTCAGAGAAGGCTTCCTGGGGAAGATGACCCAAGAGTTCAGGACAGACAGAGGAGCTGGCCAAACAAGGGGACGTGTGCGAAGAGAGCATGACATCTTCAGGGAACCTCATATGGTTCAGACTGACTGGAACAGGAGGGACACTTGGAAGTGGGGAGATAGGAGCTTGGAGAAGTAGACAGGGTAGAGCATAGGGGCCTAAGAAGTGCTAAGGAGTTTGGACTTTATCCTGAGGGCAGTGGAGAGCCACTGGTGGATTTTACAAGTTGTGAGATCAGCTTTGTACAGAATGAATCCAGGCCTCACCCTGTCAGTGGGGCTTAGGCAGGGCGAGGACAAAGTGGCCGGGTAAGGGGAACATATTGTGCAGGTTGCCCCCAACTTCAGGCTGGGGGGAGTGGAGGATGGGCTGTAGGGAGGGGACAGTGTCTATGTTCTTTTTACCACCACCTCCAAAGTCAGGGGTTATTCCCAAGAATGGGAGCTTGCACTGAACTTGGGGCAGAAAGTGGGTAAAAACTAAGGAAGGTGAGAATCAAAGATTAGAGGGAAGAGAGGGATTAAAATGAGTAGGGACTGAGAAAGCAGGGTCAGAGGCATTTACGCTTATATTTTCTTCCAAAAAAGTTTCCTTCCTTATCACTCTCTGGATTTATTTTGTAGCCAAACCCATCCACTACCAGGAAGACCAGTGCTTGAGGTTGAAGGTGAACGTCAATGGCAAAATCAGTGAGTGTCACAGCCTTGTGGGCCTCCTTGCTCCATCCCTATTCTGGGCCTGGTCTAGTGATCTGGGATGGTTGGGAAGTCCCACTGCCCAGCCCACCCAGCATTCCCACCCCTCTGCCTCCTTGGTGTACCAAGTACCTGACCTAAGACCATCCTTATCGTTCAGCTCACAGTCCTCAGGCCCATGCCAATGCACAGGAGAAGAGGCTTCCAGCAGGTAGGTGGCTGGAGCAAATTGGGCCTGGGGCACAAAAGGGGGTCTGCTTGAAGAGGTTGGGTATAGGAGGTGGCTCTTTTGCCAGTCAGGGGCAGGGGAAACCTCGCTGGGCTGAGGACCAGTGCCAATAGGGGGGCCGCTCACCTTGGGGGCCTCTGCCCTCTCACCCTGCAGATGACCCAGAGGTGCAGGTTCTACATAGCATTGGTCACAGTGCCGCCCCCCGCCTCTTCCCACTCGCCTGGGCTGTGCTGCTCCTGCCGTTCCTGCTGCTGCAAACCCTATGAAGATGTATGCTGCATGCACTGTAGGAATTGGAACTGGGCTGAGGGGGCAGGGCGGGCCTCCCTCACCTGCCTGGGGCCCCTCCCAAAGCCCTAGTCCTGGGAGCCACTCCTACCACATGCACAAGCTGCCACCCAGCAGCGTCAAAACGGGTCAGTATTAAAGCTTTCAACCCAAAGGAGGTCAGCAAGCCTGACAGTGCCATCCTCGCCTCCACCTCAGAGGGATGGACAAAGAAGTGGACAGTCCTTTCCCCTTCATTCCTGCCCTTAAGCCAAAGAAACGGGCTGTGCGGACATGGCCTCTTAAGAAGGGCACTGTGGGAGCCGAGCTGAAAGGGGCTTGGGCTTACATGGATGGACACTGAGCTTGGCAAAGATGTCCCTCCCAGAGAGAGCCAGGATGGCTCTGAAGGAAAAGCAAGAGACAGTTTCCTGCTTGGGAGCCAGGGACAGGAGAGGCAACATGCTTGGGCTGACCCAGCATCTCCCCCAAGACTGTTCTCTGTGGAGGTGCCACGGAGAGGACTGTAGCCAGTCACTACATCCTCTCCCACCCTGGGGCATCACTCCACAAAGCTGTGCCAGCAGGGGGGCTGTGCCAACCTGTTCTTAGAGTGTAGCTGTAAGGGCAGTGCCCATGTGCACAGAGTCTGTGCCTAGACTGACTGTAGCCTGAAGGGCAGGGCCCACGAGTACAGAATCTGTATATGAACTAGATGTGTGTCTGCTGATTTCTACAACTGGAGTTTTTTTATACAATGTTCTTTGTCTCAAAATAAAGCAATGTGTTTTTTTGGACGTGCTTTTCTGCCCTTCCATCCTAATTTATGACCATTGAGTCCCTGCTGCTGCTAGGCTCAGTGCTATGTCAGTAGCAATTGGGTTTGAGTTTTTTCCCCTCTCTCTGAAAAGAATACATGCCCCTCACCAGCCCACAAGGGTGGGGTGTTTCCTCCTCTGAGGGTTGTCCAGGATAGGAGTGCTCCCCACAGCAGTCTCTCCCCACAGCAGTGGGGTCCTAGGCTGCACCCCACTCTGGAAGTTCCTCCTGTCCAACCTCCGCCCCACTCGCACCCTCTCAGCGCTGGGCTTTGGCGTACTGTTCAGGTACTCAGGCTCTTGGGTGAGTCAGGGCAGCCGCTCGGAACGCCTGCCAGCTGAGGCATGCGGCTCGCCCCACAGTCCCCCCAGCAGAGACGTGTGGGAGGCTGGGAGGGAAAGTTCCCGGCAGCAAGTTGGTTGGACTAGGGGGGTCGGTGATACACGTTTGTCCAGTGGATTGGCCAAGTCACAGAAAGCCGGCAGTGTGGCTGAAGGGGGAGGGCATCACACAAAGACTTGGTGATTCCTGGCAGTCCCTGTTACTTAGGGAAGAGACCGGAAAGAGGCTTCAGCAAACAGCGAAAAATCTCCCAATCCCTGGGCAACTGAAGTTCTGAGCTGCGGCCCTCCGTGAAAGCGTGTTGAAGTCCGGGTAGCAAGCTTTTGAGTTCTACCACGTAGGCTAGCGGCCTGTGGGAAAGTGAGTTGAGGCTGGGGGTGTGGGTGATCCAAGGAGTAAGCAGAGAGTGTGGAGCGGCTGATGCCGGGGACAAATCCGCGGAGCCTTAGGAAGGAGACCGGCCAGAAAACCGAGAGCAACGGGAAGACAGGAAACCCTACGAGCCGACAGCGGGCCGGTGGGGTCGAAACAGGCCCTCGCAGGGGCGGGGCCTGAGCTCCGGCTTGAGGTTCTAAGGGTGGGCCGGGTTCCGGTTCAGTTTCCGGGGGGATGGCCGAGCGCGCAGGGGCGGAGCCGGGGGCGCAAAGGGGCGGGGCTCCGGCGTCGCGGGCTCCGGTTCCTGCTAGCTGGCCGCAGGCGCCGAGCTCGGGATCCGACTCGGGGAGGGATGGAGGCGGGCGGATTGGCCGACTCGCTTCTTTCCGGAGCTTGCGTGCTCTTCACCCTCGGCATGTTCTCCACCGGCCTGTGAGAGCGCGGACGGGCTGGGCTGGGGCAGGACCAGGAAGTCAGGAAAGGAGAGAGAACAGAGACGTGGCCGCAGCCCCAGGCTGCATCTGGAACCTAGGGTCAAAGTGGAATCGGGTCGAGAGGGCCGGGGTACAAGGGCAAGGCTGGTCACTTTACCTGAGGGAGAAGGCCAGGGTGCTGAGGGTAGGGCCGGGGGTCTGCAGTTGTCCAGAAAGGATGACAGGCATCGGGGATTTCGACGCCCCAGCAGCCTGGTCCTCCCTTTCCACCTCTCCCCCCTGCCTTCGGGTCCCCGTTACAGCTCGGACCTCAAGCACATGCGGATGACCCGGAGTGTGGACAGTGTCCAGTTCCTGCCCTTTCTCACCACGGATGTCAAGTGAGAGGGGCGATGCCTGCGGCGGGAAAGGCTGTCTGAGGGAGGTTGGGGAGGGGTGAGAAGGAATGTGGACGAGGCCCCTCGGGTCCCCCACTCACACTCAACCCCGCGAGCCAATGTCCCTCCCCTCCACCCTGCAGCAACCTGAGCTGGCTGAGTTATGGGGCCCTGAAGGGAAACTGGACGCTAATCGTCGTCAACGCCGTGGGTGCTGTGCTTCAGACCCTGTATATCTTGGTGTATCTGCACTACTGCCATCGGAAGGTAGAGCCCCTTCCTCTGCTGCATGCCCTGCCCTGCCTTGCTGGCAGGGCAAACACTGTTTCCTAGAAGACTATAACACGCTGGTACTGCCAACTTTTCCTGGAACACCCTTCCAGCCTTGCAGTCCTCCTTCCGCCATGAAGCCAGCCTGCTGAGACTCACATATTGTCCCCCATTCTGGCAAAGCTGGTAGCTCTGCCTAGCCTGATGGTGCCTTGCTGCCCAACAACCTGAGTGGAAAGGGATTTTGTCTCCATAGTTCCTTCAAAGTCAGTGCCAGTGGCTGAGAGTGAGATGATCCGCTCTGCTTCCCCATTCACACAAGCATTAAGCTCCTACTCTGTGTAGCAAGCTCACCAAAAAAGGATACCTTTCCCTCTCCTAGAAACCTCCGGGGTTGTGCGTGGATCAGACATGTGCTCAAGTCACTGGTGGGAAAGAGGATGTAACAAGTGCAATACTGGAGGCTTGGACAAAGGTTGGCTCCTCAACTGGAGCTTGGGAGAAGGCAGGATGAATTAATTCCAGCAGCAGAGTCAGAGAGGGCTCCTGGTACATCCAGAAGTAAGGCTACTCTCTCCTCTGCAGCATGCTGTGCTCCTTCAGACTGCAACCCTGCTGGGGGTCCTTGTCCTGGGTTTTGGCTACTTTTGGCTCCTGGTGCCCGACACTGAGACCCGGCTTCAGCAGCTGGGCCTCTTCTGCAGTGTCTTCACCATCAGTATGTACCTCTCACCACTAGCTGACTTGGTGAGTGGGGGTGTCCAGGGAGGAAAGGAAGATAAGTCTCCCATAGCCAGAGACTGTAGCTTATACTCCAGAGGAAGGAAAGACCCAAATCCTGGAAGGAGACGGGTTAGTAGAGTTGGGTGAGTGGGGGGCAGGAGGGAAAGGTTGGGTAACAGAAGATCAGGGAGGACGTTTGACTTTTTTTCTGAGGAAATTCTTAGGCAAGGTGGGAGATTTACTATGTGCCTTGCTAGGAGTGTCCTTCATCCTTTCCCACAGGCCAAGGTCATTCGTACTAAATCGACCCAACGTCTCTCCTTTTCACTCACCATTGCCACCCTCCTCACTTCTGCCTCCTGGACGTTCTATGGGTTTCGACTAAAAGATCCCTACATTGTGGTAAGCAGAACAGGGGCGGGGTGACAGGTGTACGAGGTGGAAAATCAGCTCCTCTCCTCATAGCAGCCCTTGTGATTTCAGGTGCCCAACCTTCCAGGAATCCTCACCAGCTTCATTCGCTTCTGGCTTTTCTGGAAATACCCCCAGGAGCAAGACAGGAACTATCAACTTCTACAAACCTGAGGGAGTTCACCTGACCACTGGGCACCTTAATGCCAACATACTACCAAAGAAACCTTGTTTCAGCTCTTCCTGCTGGTCACCTCCACTGGTGAAGTGCGTTGTGGTAAAGGAAAAGAACTGCTTTGAGAATCCAGGGACTAAAGAAAGGGCTTTACTTAGAAGACTGGATGGAACCTGGGAGATGAATCACTTTTTTTTTTTTTTCAAGATTTTATTTTTTAATTTGGGAGGTCGGGGGAAATCTTTAGAATGTGCCTTAAAATAAACTGTTCCCTACCCCTTGCCCATCAAGGCTCGTTCTCTGTTCAGGGATAGTCAACCTGCCTGGTTTGGTGAAGGGTAGACGGGAACTGTCTGATCCACAGTTACTCTTGGGCTGGTAGGGTTGGCTCCGAAAAGGTATCTGAAAGAATCAAGAAGTTGTAAAAACGTAGGAAGGCCTTAAAAAGAACAGAGCTTGGATGTTATGAAGAAGAATAGGCTTCAAGAAGTCCTTCCTAACAGGGCTAAAAAGACCAGGAAAGTGAAATGACTTTTCCGTACTGAGAGATCTTGAGAAGGGCGTCTTTGCCTCCTTCGGAGCAAACAGGAGGAAGTACCAGCAGAATGCAAAGATAAAGGCTGAGAGAGCCTCAGGAAGCTGGCTCTTCTACCTCTCACTTATCAACAGCCGGTACACAGAATCCCCAATTCCCATCATCCATACTCCATACTCAAACCAAAGTTAGAAAATAAACTTGCGCTTTAATGGGGGAGGGGAGAGCAGGCTGTCCGTGCGGGAATGAGGTTAGGGTGTCAGAAGCGCATCCCCCTGCGGGCCAAGTCGGCTCGGGCCTCCTGGATCTGGCTCTGCAGCTCGCGGGCGGCGTCCTCGCAGTCGTGAAAAGTGGCCACGCGATAGCCCACAGTACCCAGTGCATAGCAGCCGGCGGACACCAGCAAGTAGGCGGGCAGTGACCACAGGACCTCCCGGCAAGACAATGGCAGCTCCAGGCCCAAGGCTCCCGTGGTCAAAGCAGCCCAGGTGGAGCCCAGGAGCGCCAGCCCCCACAGCCACTGCGCTAATTTCGTCATGGTCACTGCGGGAAGAGGAAGCAGAGCTCGAGGTCCCTGACACCCCGCTACCCGCTCTTCATCTGAGACCCATTCCCTGTCCTTCTACCTCACCCCCACCTCCGTACCACCTAACCTCAGGGCCGCTCCTCTGTCGCTCCCGCCCTCCGCCCTCCGCCCTCCACTCTCAACCCTCAGCCCTCCTCCTACACTTACCTCTTAGCCCAGCGTCTTCCCTGAGCCGCACGGCTCCGACGTCAGCGTCCGGAATCCTCCACGGCTCGTGCTCCGCCGCCGCGCGGCCTTCTGGGAGTTGTAGTCCTCGAGCGGCGTCTGGCAGGTTCGTGGCCGCGGACTTGACCTAGGCTGTGCTCAGCCGGCTCCGCTCCTGCAGCCGCGACCTGGGCCCAGAGGGCTTTCGGTGCTGCTTCCCTCCCTCGAGACCCCGCTCCAAGCTGGCGTGGGGCTTGTAGACAGCCTGAGGACACCCTTAAGCCTTGCGACTAGATGGGAATGTAATATCGTTCCTCTTAAACTCACTTCTCCTGCACAAAAATTCCACTCATTCATTCATTCATTTATTCACTTATTTATTCTTTTATTCATTCAGTCAGTGGAACGTTTCTTGAGCGTCACGACAGACTTTGGAGAAATAGAGATGTCAAGACACGGACCCTTCTGCGGTGGAAGGAGGAAAGCAGATGCATTGACAACTAACAGGTGCCCTGAGATAGGTGTTAGAACAGAGGTTGTCATATTTTAAAAGAGAAACTCAGAGGAGCAACCAGTAAGACTTGGAGCCAGAAGAAGAAGTGCTTCAAGAGGGTGTCTTTAAGGGAAAAAAACTGTGGGGACAGAGGAATCACCTGATGTGTTTAAGGTATTAAGAGAAGGTGTATACGTCTTTCAGAATTTGGGGGATGAATTCATGATAGGTATATAGAAAACCGAGTGAAAGAAAAGGTCAGGCAATTATTAACTTCAGGGAAAACAAAGAGTTAGAAAGGAAGGAGAATTATAAAAGCCTGTCTGATAAAGACCACTAAGAACAAAACTGTAGTTGGATAGTTAGGTTTATTCACTTGCTGCTGCAAGAGAGAGCACACACCAGGGGAACTGTGGAGCCGCTCATCAAACAAAGGAAAAAGCCAGGTCATTACAGGATATGGGAAGTGGTTGAGTTCAGGTGATATTTAAATGAAGCAGTATTTTGACAGGTTCAAGGTAAGCACAGATGTAAGTGAAGGAGTTAACAACAGCCTGGACTGAGAAGTGAACTGAGAATCCACTTGGAAACTACAAAGTTAACTAATTTTAGATAATTATATAATAGATAACTACATAATTAAGATAATTGTACAATGTTATGTCCAAAACCCCAATATCTGAAGCTTTGCACCTAGGTTGGAAATCGAGGCTGCTTCTCTGTATCAAAGTAATCAACATGCGTTAAACCTCCAGCAACAGTGGGATGTTCCATTCTCACTGCCTGATTTCAAACAGAAAATTTGTGACTGTATGATTTTAGAGAACGAAGTTTCTCAGCCCCATATCCCTGATGTTAATTAATAAAACCAGTTTTTACAGAGCCACAGAGTCTTAGCACAAACACTACATAACTCAGCTGTGTAGAATATTTTCACAGCCATAATAATGTAAACACTAAGTGTTGACTTAACTAAAATTTGGAATATATTTGAATTGAGAGGGTGGGGGAGGGGAGTATATGGGGAGAGTCAGGATTAGAGAGAACTATATCCTCATTTTCCATGGCAGGCAGTCAATTGATTATATCTAAAATAGAAAAATAAAAATAATAATATGGACATGTTATTTAGAAATATTGGGAATTCCTAGTGGTCCAGTGGTCAGGACTCAGCGCTTTCACTGCTGTGGCCCAGGTTCAATCCCTGGTCGGGGAACTAAGATCCCAGAAGCCGTGCAGCACTGCCCAAAAAAAAACAAACAAACAAAAAATATATAGAGGTAGTACCCAAAAAAGCAGCCAAGAAACTTGAGAGTGGTTTATGGAGGAGTGTATGTGTAGGGAGGGGGTAGGAGAATGGAGCAGGGGACTGTTATTTTTCATTGAATGCCTTATAGAACTAGTTGGCCTTTTTATATATATATAATTGGCCTTTTAAACTATGCAAATTCCTTTGTTAAAGTAAAAATTAAGGCAAAATTAAAATATTTTTAGAAACCTGCTATATGAGCTTCAAAGGCCCACCTCCACTCCCTTCCCCAAAATCCTACTAGTAACCCACTCAAGACCTCACTAGCCACAGCGACTTTCAACACAGTTCAGGGGCCAGGCATCAGCCTTGCAGATCCAGAAATTCTGTCTTATTCACCCACAATAGATGTGGCCCTGAAAGATTGCCACTCCCCAGAAAATTTTGGGGGGAAAGATAATGAGAAGGGGCTCGCCCTGCAACACATAAAAAGAAAATAAATTATAGTGTCATAATAATCAGCAGAAGATTAAACATTCATCGAGGGGCTATTATGTGTCATGCCTTTTGTGACACTGCATGTTTGATTTTCACAACAGGCTGCAGTAGGTACTTTTATATCCCCATGTATGAATGAGGAAACCAAAGCGGAGAGAAGGTAAAAGGTAAGTAACTTGCCCGAAGTCATGCAGGGTAGTAAGTAGCAGACTGTCTCATCTGACTCAAAGCTATATGCTTAGTAATTTCACCTTTCTGGGTTACTGGTATAGGAATGGGCAGATAGGGATCGTCATAGCAGCTGACATTCATTGATTGATTACTCTGTGCCAGGCACTGTAATGAGTACTTTATGTGCATAATCTCATTCAATCTTTACAGCCACCATATGAAGTAGGTACTATTATTATCTCCATTTTGCAAATGAAGAAACAGGTACGCCCCAGATAGTCAGACTAGACTGCAGAGCCTGCAAACTTTGCCACTAAGGTATAGCATCTCCCTACCTAGATCAATGGAACAGAATAAAAAGTGAAGAAATAGATCGAACATACACCATTTCAGCATATGATAGAAATGGCATCTCCAGTGAGGAAAGATGGATTATTTGAAAAACATTTGCAACAAGCTTACCATTTGAAAAAGTAAATTAAGTTATATTTCAACCTCACATCTTATACTAAAATAAATTCGCAGTGCATTAAACAAAACTTCATGTGAAAAGTGAAACCCTAAATATGCCACAAGAAAATGTGGGTACATATTTCTCTAATGTTCAGCTCAAGCAACACGTCCTCCAAGCAGCCTTCCTGGGCCTTGACCCTGTCTTGCAGGGTTGGACACCATCTTCCTCCTCTGAGCTCCCACAGCCTCTCTTTTATAGATGGCACTTGCCATGTTGAGCTGTAGGTGTTTTGTTTCCCTGCTTGGGCCACCCAGGACCATTGTAACTCCAGGACCAAGCATAGCGTGGGAAACCCAGAGGGCTTCTATAAATGTAAGATGAGGGGCAGAAGGAAGGACAGGTTAGCATTTGATGGTCTCCAGCAAAACTGACCCAGCTGTCCTGGTCCCAGGAAATATAACTACTCCAGAGACTCCCATCTACTGGACACAGGGTCTTTGGCTTTGGATAGCATTGGATGAAAGCCAGCAGATTCTTATGGTCCAATTCCCTTCTCTTCAATCTTTTTACAGACCGTTACCCTTCTGCAGCTACAGCAGGCCACAAGTACACGTGATTATAGCAGGGTATGAAAGGCAGTACAGCTTGGGGGTTAAAAGTTTGGGCTTTTAGAGCCCCAGATGTCCTGAGGTTGGGTCCTGCCTCTTTCCTTTACTTAGCTATGTGACCTTGGGCAAGTAACTTAACCTCTCTGAGCTTCAGTTTTCTCACATTTGTTGGAGTTTTCTCCTTTGGCAAGCTTTTTTTTTTGGCTGTGTTGGGTCTTTGTTGCTGTGCGCAGGCTTTTTCTAGTTGCATCGAGCGGGGGCTATTCTTCTCTGCAGTGCATGGGCTTCTCATTGAGGTGCCTTCTCTTGTGGAGCACCGGCTCTAGGCACGCAGTGGCTCGTGGGCTTAGTTGCTCCACGGCATATGGGATCTTCCTGGACCAGGGCTTGAACCTGTGTCCCCTGCATTGGCAGGTGGATTCTTAACCACTGCGCACCACCAGGGAAGTCCCACCTTTGGCAAGCTTTGGTTTCAGTGAGAGACAAATTCCAAATCTAGAGCCCTCTATTTATTTATTTATTTAATTTATTTATTGGCCGCACCTC